TATAATTTACGCGACTTTTATGCAGTGTTTGGTGGCGCAATAACGTCAGACCAAACGCCATTTTAATGCTTCGCATAACACAACAAATTCAAACTGATGCACGATAAACGAAGCAGAAAGTTATTTCGGGAAGAAAATTCGTGTACGTTGTGAAATTCGGATGAGTTTAAAATAGTCATAATATTAGATATGAACATGGATATGAATATAGAGAATGGAGTCGTGTACTAAATTGTAGTGTAAGGTTACATTTTTTTTGTCAAGCAACAAAAAAAAATACCTCTCATCCCCGGCAACTTCCATGATTCTACAAAACAATGTTCGTACTTTATCGTAAAGTTTATTTCATGGATTTTCTGTTAATTATGCATAAAAACGAAGAGAAATGCTTTTTTTTTTCATATAAAGTTTTCTTTTGTGTGTTGTGTTACAGTAATAATACGCATTTTTATTTTTTTTTATGAATTTTAATTAATTTTAGTACATTCAAAAATACTGCGCGTACCCAGTGGGGTTTTTAATAATTCTGATAAGGAGTTTTTACCTACACCACAACAACCAAAACGCTATCGCTTAAAGCAATTGAATTTACTTGATGGTTTTAATATCACTGATCTGCGGACTAGACCTGAAATATTTTCAACGTTTCTCACAAAAAAATATGAACTTTATTTTTGCAATAACATAAATAGTATGTTCGACGACATTGGCATATCCTGGGTTCGTAACGAATGACAATTTTTATAATTTTTGTGATTATTTATTTTCTGTAAACTATCACAATAAATACTAGGCATAAGTAAGGTTCAGGTTGTTACATCATTTAAGTGTAGCCATCACGAACGGGCGACTGAAATAAGACACGAATATTTTTACCAAAACTAGATTGTCTCGAAGGCGATATTTTTTTGCAGTCAAAATTGGTCTATGTTTAGGTATCATTGACATATAAATTCACGTTAACATTAACACGTAACTTACAAAGGGTAATCAAATGCAACGCAGTAATAGGTAAACATGTAGTGGTGGTAAGTCAGAAAAAGGCCACAGGGTGTTCTTGGCAAGAAGCTCTAGTCACGCCCATTAAATTCGTTGTTTGATTTCATTTATTTAATTTAACTTTCTTTTTTCTGTTGAATTAATAAGCGTTTAGCGTTTAATTATTATTAGATTAGCAACAGTGCAACCCTGTGAGATTTACATCCGGTTCCACGTTCGGCCAAATAATATGATTGTTCTTATGGAATCCCCTATATTTATTTTTATTTATAACTTAAGTTTCACCAAATTAAGTTAAGTTGCTGATATATTACGAACACCTAAACCAGACCGTTTCTGAGAAATTTTCAGAAATTAAAAAAACAGACTGTAATTTGAAATTTATTTATACAGATAACGAACTGCTCGTAACTAATAATGCTTAGCTGAAAGATTAAAATTAATTAGTTAATTTATTAATTAATTAATAGTTTGGACACATATTTTATTAAACAATTTCTTGAAATTAAAGGGGTTAATGAATTTGAATCCCCTTAAAACTATAATAGGCATTTTTATGACTTATGACTAATTTATCTAAAATATCTTCAACTTTTAATCTTAAATATAGAAAAAAGGATGGCTTTAAGTATTTTTTGAAACACACATTATATGGTAGTAACATTATTAATGTTTAAAGTAGTTTAAAATCATCATCAGCTAAAATTAAATCTTACCCGCAGTAAGAACGAAGATTTTGGTAGTCGGTGAGTGTCACGAAAACTGTTTATTAGACTCAAAATATATTTGTAAAAGTAGAAAGAAAGAAAGAACAGGCAGGGAGTCTTATAGCCAGAACTTCGACAACCGCTTACCAGAAATGAGAAAACCGAATATTTAGTGATGAAATCTCTGGTTGAAGAATTTTACACAAGTCAGCAATAAAGCAACTGCAACAAGCAGACAGAGCACCGAAAGAAGAATTTAAAAGCATAAATTTTACCCATATCGCATTCAACTCCAACACCTTTTCGAAGAATGTTATGTTGGATTATAAGATTGAATTCTTGTTTTTGGGTCTAAGCAAAGTGTGGTGACATTTTTTTTTAATGTGTCCTTTTCCCATAATTATTCCATAATAACGGATTAGTTAGTAGATATAATTTGCACTACCATAGTAATGAAAATTTTAATATTTTCAAAGCTCTTGATATGCTAACTTGTGAAGTGGAATAATTGGAACTCGAATAGTAAGTCCATGTTTCTCGGATTTTTATAGGACAATTTGCCTACACTGTGCGCTCCTGCGATAGATATGCTAGAAAGGAGTAAAATATGCAATATTTAAATAATTGGGTAGGACAGGTCTCACAAGTCCCAACTATTATTTATGGATATATCAAAAATATCGCCAACGAGACCGCAGGATATAAATGTACTTGTAAGAAGAGCGTCTCGTTTTATACCGTAAAATATTTTAACCAGAGTTCATTACAATATTTTCAAGTTTGCTTATGTTTCGAGAATAATGGATACCACTTTGAGCATTTTTTGAAGTAGTAACTCTTTTACCATTTAAGTAAAGTTAATTTTTCAATGAAATGAGTTTAAAAATGGTGTTTAGGCAATACTTATCGAAGATAAAGAAATTAGTCATATGTAAAATATAAAAACGCCTTTAGGGTAAAAAACAAAGGATATGGTTTTAATGGGAATCTAATAGGCAACTTGCTCAAAAAATATGCTCAAGTTCCCATAAAAAGAAAAATTATAATTACAATTAAAAAATCTTAAAAATAAAGGTTTAAAATTTCAATAAATTTAGCTGCTCTTAAAAGGCGCTGCCAACCAATGGTAGCGCAAAATAACCGAATCGAAAAGAAAACACAATTTAACCAAGATATTACGGCACATATGAATTTGTTGACATGCTTTTTTGTATGCTTTCAAATTTATAATATTTTGATAAATTGATTATCAATTACAAGTTTGGCCTTACTATTTTGTTTATCTTATATGGACCAGAAAAAATTACGAATAACTTCTTTATTTCGCAATTTTCCGAGGATGACAGTGGATGAGATTCAACTAAAACCCAATCTCTCCGTACAAAATGCGCTAACTTTCCTATTTCATGATTCATTTTTTGTCTATTTTTTTAGATAATAGCTAATAGCACATTTTGATTTTGATCATGCGCCGTTATTTGCTCAGACTCCCCTGGGAAAACTATTAGATCGACAATATTATTGGGTCCTTCCTTATTGAACATTAAATAATTGGGAGTAAAACCTGTCACGTCATGAATTACGTTGTGAAGACACTTCTCGATATATTTTAACACAGAAGTCCAACGTGTATGTTTTGCATTACAGCAAGTGCGCAGTAACCTGCCAATTTCTTTGTTCACTCGTTCGGTTGCATTTCCTTGCGGAAAATAAATTGAAGTATACATAACCTTGATATTTTGTTCTTCACTAAATCTCCAGGATTCTTAGAAATAATTGAATTAAAACTCCCCTCTAAACGTTTTAATGTTTTCGCCTTTCGACATAAGTCACAGGCAGTTGCAATATGTCTTAACATTTGTGGCCAAAAGAACGTTCGTCTTATATGACCATAGGTTTTTTATACCCAAAATGACCCAAATCTGCGTGTTGTTGAATAACAATATTTTTGATATACGTTTTAGGGAGATATAATTGAAATCCATTGTAAATAATATATCTTCATGGATTTTATACCATTTTACTACCGATTCGTATTCGTAATTCAGAATTGTGAAATTGGGGAATATTTATTTTTGTTTAAATCCTTTGGTCATTTGGTTTAATGGTTTTTAAATCGGGTTCTAATTTTCTTAAGCTCCGAACTTAACCTTAACATGGAAATATCCAACTGATTACCTCTCTGGGAATCTAACATTTCTAATCTTTTTTGAGAGTTGCCTTACGGTACATAGTGTTAACATTATATTCTTGTATATATAATACCCATCGAGCTAATCTGGCGGTTTTTAAAGGTGCCTTCATAATGTATGAGAGAGCCTCGTGATCTCTCTTAATTACTAGACTTTGCCCTAACAACATAACTCACCATAACTGCAAGGCGTAAACACAACTTAAAAATTGTTTTTCAGTGTCAGTATTCCTGAGTATCGTACAAAAGTATTCTACACGTATAACCCGTTTTTCATCTAACTGATAGAAATAACAGCTCAAAGCAAAACCTGAACAGTAAGTCACTATTTTCTGAAAAATTGTGATGTTCTACCATAGTTGTGCGTAAGAATTCCTTCTTCACTTTTGTAAAGGTGTTTTCTTTATATTTGTCCCACACCCACTTAAAATTCTTTTTTATAAATTCCACGAGAGCGGCACCACACTTACATTGAAATAATGTTCACAAGCGCGAATTTTTGTGCGTAGAATAATCCCCTACACCACTTCTGCATGCGTTTAGCCATTATTTGTCGCTTTTTGTCTTCCGATATCGGAATGAAAATTTTACCAGGATTTTTCACAGTTGAACATGTACAAAAAGGGACAAAGCAGTATTTATAAGAGCAGTCTGCATTATAAATACAAAAATTGAACATTAAAAACTTAAAATCTGAGAATAACGATGCCAATTTGGTAAGAAATCAATAACAAATGCTTGAAATGTCTCGTAGCGTGCCGTGTACTTTCCTGCGGTAATTTTAGGGTGTTTTAGCTAAGCTGTATATTTAATTATGCACGTTACGGGGTGTAAATAATTTTTAAATTAAGGTACCTACTTCTTAATATCTTAAAATTTTTCAGAAACGGTCTGGTTTAGGTCTAGGAAATGCAACTGTAACTTACCATTATTTGGTTTTTAGTAACTAATATAATAGTGTGCTAAAAGTATTTTCAGAACTCTTTCCATTTCTTCTTCTTCTTCTACTTAGTTGAGATCAAATGATCTGTTAATTACAGGCATGCCGTTGTATTAATTCTTGAGATGTGGACTGCCAGCTGTCTCTCCACCTCTTCGGTGGTCTACCGGGCGGCTACTGGCATTCCCTCGAGAGCTACGCGGGGCAATCTATCTTCGCCCAGTGTCTTGACGTGGTTATACCATTGCCTTCTTCTCTGCCTTCCCCATCTTACAATATCCTGTACGTCGCATTGTTCTCTTATGTCGATCTTTCTTACGTGGTCTCTTCTGGTTTTGCTAGCTATTGATCTCGGCACCTTCATCTCAGCTACGAGCAGCAGTCTCTTTGTTTTGTTCGTGTCTTCTCTTGTTTCTATCGCGTACGTCATTATTGGTCTAACGCATGTTTTGTATATTTTAATCTTACTGTCCTTCTGCATGTATCCGTTGGCCCAGACAATCTCCCTTAGGCAGCCTGAAGTTGCTGATGCTTTGTTGATTTGGTCCCTTAGATCTTTTGTTGGGTCGTGGCAGCTAGACATGTTCATCCCAAGGTACTGAAATTGCATTACCTGCTCTATGGGCTTATCTTCAACTATGAGCTTGCATCTGATTGGTTCCCTGGTCATTGTCATGCTTTTTGTTTTCTCGACCGAGGTGGTAATATTAAGCTCTCGGCACACTTGATATAACTTGAATAGCTGTCTTTGTAGGTCGTTCTCGTTTTCTGCGAAAATTGCTGCATCGTCGGCGTAGCATACCATGTTGATACGTTTGTTGCTCATTCTGTATCCCATATTTAAGGTTGCTACTTCTTCTATGTTTGATATTCAATTTCATGTGTTTCATTGGCACTGTACAGTCTTTCGAAGTATTCTTAACATATTTCTATTGAGACTCCTTTACTTTGGACGAATTCGTTTACCGGTTTCTTTCTGTTTTTCAACATCTTCCACACCTTCCTTTGGGCGCCATATATGTCATAATCCATGTCGCTCGTGAATTTAATCCAGTGTTCCCTTTTGATGGTTTTAATTCGTGAGTTGACTCTATTTTTTGTCTGTATGTATTCCGCACGTCGTTGTTGGGTTCGGGATCCTTTGTATGCTAGGTAGCTTCTTCTTTTTAGTTCTGCGAGTTCTTTCACTTCTTAGCAATACCAAGGTTTAGTACCTTTTGTCGCGTTTGTATTTACTTTCCTTTTTCCTATGGATTCGTCAGCGGACTGAAGGATGGCTTTCTTAATTTTATTCCTGCAGGTTTCCACATCGCATTCGTTGAGGTCCAGCTCGTTTAGTCTATGTTAGTCTGCTTTCATACAGTTTACACGTGCGGTCCGATTCTAGTGATTCTATATTGTATTTTTCGATGTATACGGGCGCTTTTTGATTCTACTGGGTTGTTCAATCAAACGTTTACATAATACGAGATCGTGATCCGTTCCTATATTACCTGAAGTTAGTGCTCTTACTTCAAGTACTTGAGTCGGTTTGATGATTCTGTTGGTGATAATGTAGTCAGTCAATCATTGATTTTTGGCCTCTAGTGTTATTCAATGTGTACTTGTGTTGTGCCTTGTGTGGGAAGTAGGTGTTATTAATTCTCAACTCGTTTCTGGCACAAAAGTCGATTAGTTGCTCTTTCCATTTGTCGTACAAAAACAAAGGCGGATATCGATCTAAATAATAGACTAGAACTTGCTGACTTTTCGAAAATCATCCTGTTGACTTCTTCAGAGCTTAACAGAAACTGGCTCGCATTCTAACCTGCACCTTGTACACTGGCTGCGGAGGCGAAGCCGACGGAGAAACATAAACATTGTGTCGGATGATTGATTCCCATATTAGTGAAAGGTGTCGGTTAAGACTGTTTGGTTGCTTATAGATTTCTATAGATTCTCGGATTTTTCGTCGACGTCGGTACAAGAATTGATTACAAGCCAGAATTTTAGTTTTATCGAATAAAATTTGATGTCCGGTTCCGGGATTGTGTTCGTTGTCTTAAGGCTCTTTCGTGTTCTTTCAGCATAGTTGATATTTTTCCTCCGGTTTCTCCAGTGTATTCTTTGCCGTATATGTATGGAATGCTGTAAACTGATATCTCAAGCGGAATTTTGTCTTGGACGGATCGACGATGTTTTGATATTATATTTCTTAAGAATTTTTGACATGTGGTCAGTGATGTTTTGAACGTAAGGAAACAGTAACAAGTGTGGGGTAGTTTTCGGACTCATTGCCTTTGAAGAGCTGTGATGAAGTATATTTTGTGATGGAACGCTTAATATCTCTAATGTGGAAGTTATTAGAGAGAAGAGCAGTTGTAAGGTGTTTTAATTTTTGGTTTAGTAACTCGGGTCGAGATAGTTTTACGGTTCTGTGAACAAGAGAGTCGATAACCTATGATTTTTGGGTCGGATGGTGATGTGACAATGCACGAAGGGGTCAGTTCGTGTGCGTCGGTTTTCTGTAAACAGAATGACCCAATGTTAGGTCTGATTTTCTATTGATGAGAATATTTAAGAATGGGAGATTATTATTAGTTTCTAGTTCAATGGTAAAACGTAAGTTAAGGGGCATAGTTTGAATGGCCAAATAACAAAAGCATCATCAATGTAGCGTTTCTATAATTTTGGATTTAGATCGAAACTGTCGAGAACTTTCTTCTCACAGACTTCCATAAATATGTTCGCGATGACTGGTGATACTGGAGAGCCCATAGTTGTTCCCGATGTTTGTTAAAAAATTTGACCGTTCTAAGAAAAAACATTTAAGATGAGAACATTTGATTGGAAATTCTCGGATTTTAATATATATGAAATAATGTTGAGAATGTCAAGAATAGGGATAAACGAAAATTTTCAGCTTTGTCATGAATCATGTTTGAAAGTTATCAAAGTATGATGAATGAATGAAGTAAAGCAAATCTAGATTTACGGAGAAATACTATACGGATAATTCTATAGTCCCCTGGAATTCTGAATTCTTTGAAATAACGCTTTGTGATAGTGTATAATTAGTACATAATTTTAGGAGATTTTTACTATAGGGGCAATTTTGCTGAAGGTTAATTTTTTGCTGCATCACGCGTCATGCTTCCCTCCTTTCATGTAATTAAAAGTTAATTCCGGGCTACGAACTAAAATACGTACAAAATGCGGACCCGGCGTCTCTTTTATTTTTAGCCTGCTGTAACACGATTTTGAATAATTTGATTTTAAATAAAAATCTGCATATTTTTATTCAACGCAGTTCACCGAAAGTTGAACCGATAATTTTGTTCTAGTTAATAAACGTCTCGCGCAATGACACAAAATTCGAAAATGGGCAAACAAAAATTGCTTTACGGTTAAAATTATTTCGATATAAATTTCATGACTGTTTTTTGCACGTTCGGTGGATAATAATTCTGTTTGAAGTAATTTCGAATATCGATGCATTTAAAAATTTATGGGTCTGAAATTGATGATTTTCTCTCTATCTAAAAGTAAACAACTATGCAGGCAACGATCTGAAAATTTGTTTGCTGTGAATCTTCTGCATAAACGTCAATTTTCTTTTCCAAGAATATGATAGAAAATCAATTTTCGGAAACTGTTTACTCTCCTTTTCATATAGATTTCTCTTCGGGTAAGTTTACTTTCAAGATTATTAATTTACTTTGCCAGCGTGCATGCCGATTAAAGTTAATTAATCTATATAAGAATTTAAAAGAACTTTTACGAAAACTGGACCTATAGTTTTCGATTGGCTTTGGGTCATCTTTCTTATAAATATATATTTAACTAAATATGTTTTAAAATAGTAGGAAACTCCCGGCTTCACAGATATGTGAAGAAATTTAGCCATTATTTAGCAGTCTTACATTTTTTTGTGTGCAAGCAAATCAATCACTTCGTCATCAAAAAACATAAAAAATATTTCAAGTGGAGTTTTCCCCGGAAGCCTATTTTTTAGTTCCTCACATGATCTAAATTCATGTGTGAGTGTACTCAATCTGACCTTTCTTCCATTTGACAGTAGAAGCAAGCCTGTCGTTTACGTCTTCTTTTGATTTCCAGGGTTTCGTCATCTGATTACAGGACTGTTGAAAAACAGCTGTATCATTCAGTGTATGTAACTCGAAAGTTCTAACTATATCAGTTCGTTCCCCAAACTCTTGTAGATTTATGTTATCGTTCATATCTTCTTCGTCAGTCAAGGTAACCACGTCGGGTGGAATATAGACCGCGTCAATATGTTCTGTAAATATTTTTTCACGTTATTTTTAGCATAAATTTATATTTAAGAATACGTAAATCCATATAATGCTTACGACTTTCATTGTTGTTGTCCTCATCCATCACATTCTCCTCCATAGCCGCCACAAATTTCTTTTGAGTCAAATACCTTGGAAATGCCATATTATACAAACTGTATCGTTCACTGCACAAGGCACAAACTAATACTAAAGAACACGCTAGTTTTTGGATGTTTAATCTACATGCGCTGACTTGTCTTGATTTGCAATAACAAAGTTTTGTTTCACAGATAAAATTAGTGCATTCACTCACCAGTAAATATTTTCAAAAAATAAAGCATAATGAGTATAGCATTTCCAATGTATGTTTTGTGCGATGTAATCTACATAGACTTAACTAAAATGGCAATACAAATCCAAAACATTTTTTTTTTGCTATTTTGGATTTACTTGAAAATGTGATACAAATGTACCGCTTTTGTTAAAGTTTGACAAAAAAAATCACAGAATTGGTGGTGCATTAACGCACCACAGGGACAAAATGGGTTAATGGAAACTTCGTCCAAAACCCGTTGATTTTTTGTTTGTCAATTCGCAAATTATCTTTTTAGTTTCATCATTACCGACCGCGAAAAAGTAAAACGGTTCCTAAACAATTCCCTTTGTAGTACAGGAATTGGACAGACGTCCAGCAAAATGTTTATTCAACTCACTAGCAACAATTCAAGAAAACAAGGTACTAAACGTCTCAGCTATTTCATCTTTGACGACTAAACTGGTGTCTCTTAGCTCAATGGCGTCCTTTGTAATTCTGATTCTATTTAACCTCTCGTTTACTACTTTCCACAAAGTCTTTGCCTTGTTGCTTGACTCCATTATTTTGTTAGCGTAAAAAGTCTTTCTTGTATCAGTAATATTTTTGTCATGTTTAATTTTAAGATTCTTGTTTGTTAAATTTGATTCCAAGTCGTTGGGATTTTGTTTACACTTATGATTTAAATATTCCAAAATTTTATATTCATTTTTTAGTTTCTGTGCGCACCAAGCAATATTATTGTTACATTTGTATTTGTTATTTGCTTTTGGAAAAGAAGCTGGGAAGTTCAAGCAAAATATATCTCCCACTTTTGCAAATGTTTATTTTATAAATTGTGATTTATAGCGCCATGGTAATATGTGTGCTACATTGTACGGTAGATCACTCGTAAATATTATACTGTTAATTAGGTTAGAACCTTATTAATTTCATGAATATTTTCATATGTTTTAGGCCTGGCTCGGTTGGTAAGCAGTTGACCTGCCAACTCACACTTGCTGGAGGTTGTGGGTTCGATTCCTTGGGTGTTGCGTATGTTGAAAAATGGGTGTCGGTAATTTTTTTTGTGATGAACCCAATTAAGCGCAAATAAAAAAAAATGTTCTAGGCTATGATACTTTGGTTTCTTTTGTGACGTCGTTTCGCTTTGGTATATTATGTAACAAATTTGTTGCATGTTTATTATTATTATTATTATTATAATTACTAAAAAACTCAAACACCTTGTGTGTT